CTTTGAGAAATAGCTGGGTGTGATGGCACACGCCTTTAATCCCAGCAGAGGCAGGCCAGCCTGGTCTACAGAGTGAGTTCCAGGACATCTGGGGCTACAGGGAGACCCTGTCTCAAAAAGACCAAAAAAAAACCTGTCAGAAATATTGCTTACTCAGAAAATAATAGCTGACGTTTATTAAAAGTGGCTTATGTAACAGGTACTGTTCTAGCTACTTTATATATGAACTGCTATAATTTATTCCAGAAACTTCTGAGGTCTCAAATCCAAGGACATACAGTATATTGCAAATCCAGGATTCACACTGGGGTAATTCAGCTCCTGTAGAGAAATGCAGCAGTTGACTATTGTTAATTCCCAGGGAGGGGAGGGCGCAGGCTGGATAGGGAGCCAGGTGGAAGTGCTTAGTGGTGCAAATAGGAAGGAGAAGGATTTTTTTGTTACTGTTGTTTTTGTGTTTGCTTCTCTCAGCAGCTAGTTCTTTTATAATGAGAAAAAATAAAATCTCTAGATGTTAAAACATTTTTATAAGTTTGGATCAAGGAGGAAAAAAAGCAGTAAGTTGCAGCCCTGAAAAAATTTAAATGTAGGCCTATGTAGGCCTCAAACTCACTATGTAGACCAGGCTAGCCTGGAATTGACAGAAATCCACCTGCTTCTGCCTTTCGTGTGTGTGATTAAAGACATGTGCCACCCTCTCCAGCCTCAGCTGTCTTTTAGGATAAAATCCTATAACTGTAATCTCTGAGTCAAAGGGTACAATTTTTGAGGATATTGATCATTCTTCCGTATTAGGATATATTACCTGTAAAATGCTAATGAGTTTTATTATGGCATTTAGACGTATGCATCTATTGTTCTTTGGTCATACTTATCCCCTTTATCATTCAAAGGGTACAACTTTTTAAGCTTCTTGTTATGTGTTGCTAATATTGCTTTGTAGAAAAATTGTGCTAGCTTATATTCTTATTGGCAATGGATGAACAACTGGCTCTTCAGCATCTTAGACATTGCAGATTCTTATGATCAGAAAGGTAGCACACTGCCCATTTAAAACATTAAATAGTACAAAGGTACTATTCAAATTATTTTTAAAACCTTTTTAGTTAGAATTATTTATTCGTGTGTCTGTCTGTCTGTGTTTGGGGGGGGGGCATGCAGATGCCACAGTGTACATATGGAGGTCGGAGGAGAACCTTCAGGAGTCACTTCTCTTCTTCCAGCATGTATGTTTGGAGCATTGAACTCAGGTCATCAGGCTTGGCAGCAAGTGCCTTTACCTGCTTATCCGTCTCACCCATCCTAAAATTAGTTTGAAATGAGCTCTCCTTGCCCTCAAATTACATTAAATCACATTCTTCAGCAGTATGGTATACATACATGTTCTCACAGCTTTTTTTTTTGTTTTCAGACAGATCTCACCAGGTAGGTCTGGTTGACCTCCCAAGTTACAATTCTCCTGCCCCGGGCTCCCAAATGCTGGAAGTACAAGAGCGTGCCACTGCACCATGCTTGCCAGAGGCTTTTTTAATATACAAATTTACAGATCTATGAATTGAGCACTTGTTTATAATACAGAATCGCTATTGTGTACTTAGAATATTAATACAAGTCACTGTTCTTATTTTGTGATATATTGCAGACTTCCTTATCAACATGTTGATCAATCTTTTTAATTCTTTGCAGCAATTATATTTCATAGAATAACTAGAAGTGTAAAGTTTTGTCTATTAATAAAAATAGGCTATGCTTATTTTTCATTATTACAAATACTGCGAAAATCTTCCTTGCACTTATATAGTTATATACTTCATACACACAAATGTGTGATAAAGTCTTAAAAATGGGGCTGTCGGGTGCAGAGTTCTGTGCTTTTGCTTTTTTGTTTGTGCTTTTTGTTTTACTGAGACAGGATCTTCACTGTAACCCTGGCTGGCATAGAACTCAAGAGATTGCCCTTGCCTCTTCCTCCTGAGTGCTGACGATAAAAGAGTGCGCCACTAGGCTCTGCAGTTCTGCACTTTTAACGTTCAGAATAAGGACTGTAGTATTGCTTCTGAAACCATTTATCCAGTGAATGCCCGTGCCCAAAGTGTCCCATACCCTTTACTCAGCTGGATAATATTAGTATTTACTTTTTCATTCAGATTGTTCCTTTTAATTTACCTTTTTATTATCATTGGTAAGACTGGGCTTCTGCTCATTCTTTTTAGTCATTCTCTGGTGAGTTGCATGTTTCTGTCCTTTGTATATTTTTCTCTTGGAGTTTATCATTTGAAATACTCTATATGGGTCTTAGTTGTTTGTCACTGTGTGCAAATGGTTTCCCAACTTATTTGCCTTTTCCCCTTGCTTTTCAGGGCTAGGGACTGAACCCAGAGACTTACACATGTTAGGCACGTGTTCTGCCACTCACTTCCCCAGCCCTATTTGTTTTTCAGTTTGATTGATGGTGCCATTTGCTCTACAGATACCTTAATTTTAGTCACATTCTGTCTTTCCTTTTATGGCTACTTATGTGTCCTAATAACAAACTATATATATTTTTAAAACTCTTATTTTCTTCTAGTCACATGATTTTATAATTAGATTTTTACTCTATTTTTTTCATATAATATGAGGAAATGGATATCTTATAACAAATTGGATGGGCCAATTCTCTCAGCTTTTTCCCTACTCATTGAGAATCTCACTTCTATCATAGTCTCAATTTCCAAATTCTTACTGGTCTGTTTCCAAACTTGCTATTCTCTCCCACTGATACATGTTGTATTTTCATGCTAGTATTTTTCCTTCTGTGATGATGGTCATTGAATCTAAGGTTTTGTATAGCCTAGGCAAATGCTCTGTCATTGAACTATATCCCTAGCCCCTGCTATTTTGAAATGGGGTTGGGAGTGCTTGGCTTCTTCTGTTTCCTCTCCCTCTTCTTCCTTCCTCCATTCTCCTTTCCTTTCCTCCTCCTCAGGCTGGTCTTGAACAAATGATTTTCCTGCATTAACCTCTGACATACTAAGATAACAGGCACACATCAAAATGCCCAGCTAGCTCCATTGGAATCTTAATCATGTATGAGTTTGACATGTACTAATCCTTGGTCATAGAAGGGATATTATTTACCTTTTTAAAGTAATTAAATAATTAATTTTATGTGTTTTTCCTGCCTGCATATAAGGTGCAGTGTGTCATGAAATGCCTGAATGCCCATTGAAACCAGAAGAGGGCATCAGATTCCCTGGAACTGCAGTTAGGGACAGTTGTTAGCTGCCATGTGTGTGCTGGGAACCGAACCCAGGTCCTCTGCAGGAGCAGCCAGTGCTCTTAACCACTGAGCCATCTCTCCAGCTCCAGTTTGTTGTTTGCCTTTTAATTTTACTGCTTCTTTTACCTTCCAGAAATTTGAAACTCTAATATAGTTAAATTTATGAGTTGTTTGTGATTTTACTATTGCACTTAAAGCCTCCTGAAATTTTTTTGTTGAAAAAAAATTTTGTTTAAAATAATGTAGTGTATGATGTTAGTGATATTTGCTTTAACTATAGCTGAGTATATTATATACATATAACTCAAATGTTTTAGGTATACTATATACAAATATATATTAGGACGTTTGAAACATTTGATTATGATCATTTTTTCATTTTAAGAAATTTTAGGACTGGGTATGATGGTGTACACTTTTCTGTCAAGTGGGAGGCAGAGGCAGGTGGATGTCTGTGGGTTCAAGACCAGCCTCGTTTATGTATAGCAAGTCCAGGCCAGCCAAGGCTACATAGTGAGACTTTCTCAAAAAGAAAAGAAAAGAAATTTTAATTTTTGGCAAGTACAAGTAATTCTAACAATTTTAATGAAATTCTTTACTTAAAAATTATTAGCTTGGGAATGGAGAGATGGCTCAGCACTTAAGGGCATTAAATGCTCTTGCAGAGGATTTGGGTTCGATTCCCAGCACCCACATGGCAGCTAACAACTGTCCCTAAGTCCAGTTCCATGGGATCCAACGACTTCTTCTGACCTCCACAAGCATTGTATGACACGGGTGTACCTACCTACATGCAGGCAATATACTCATACACATAAAATAAAAATAAATATATATATATATGTTTTGTTATTGTGTGTGTCAGTATGTGCATGCCTGGCACAAAACATGTGGAGGTCAGAGGACAACTTTTTGGAGTCACTTCTCTCTACTTTTAGATGGGTTCTGGGGATTGAACTCAGGTCACCCAGTCTTGTGGAGCAAGTGCTTTTACCTGCTGAGCCACCTTTCCAGCTTATATAGGGGGCCTTTAATACATAACTACAGTAAATCAGTGAATAGCTGAATGAAACACTTCCTGTTAATGGCAGGAATTCTTTTCACATGGGAAATGTTCTAAAATTTCTACATGTGCTACTTCCATATATATAACTCACAGCGTAGCTTTTTTTTTTTTTTTTTACTGCTTAGGTTAGAGCTTCCTTTTGTACTCAGTATTTAATTACTTTAGCAGGTAGTTCAATTATAGGTGACTTCAACGTTGAAGTTGTTCATTCTGCTTTCATGATTGAAGAGCTAGCTATGTACACCAGTGCTGTCCAGTAACCAACCCTTTCCCTCAGTGATCAAAGCAGTCCAGGTCTCTGCTGACATTGTTGCTACTTGCCCGGTATGGCCAATGAGCGCTTGAGATGTGGCAGGAAATTGAGGTTATTTTATTATAGCCATCTTAACAATATTTAAAAACTATAGTCAAGATCACAAATCTCATTTTTGTAGAATTACAGATTCAAGGGAAATAAGGTTACAGTGATGACAATTAAACTTTTTTTGTATTAGATTTTTGTTTTATTTATCTGAAACATTGGGTTGTGCTTCATTGAATATAGCACAGACCAGGTCTCCTCCTTTTTAGAGGCAATTTCATTTTAAGTAAAAGCGTAGATCCTGAAGACTCATGGAATTAATGCTCATTGTAAGATTGATCCATATAAAGCTTTTGCTCGTTTCTAAGCAGGTGATTTAGAAGAAAGTTTTAATGAGCATGAACTGGAGCCCTCATCTCCCAAAAATAAAAAGAAAAGTCGCAAAGGAAGACCAAGAAAAACTAATTTTAAAGGACTGTCCGAAGATACCAGATCCACGTCCTCCCATGGAACAGATGAAATGGAAAGTAGTTCCTATGTAAGTAGAAAACTATTAAGAGTCTTACTTTGTATTGTAAGATGAATATTTCATTTAAACATTGTCTACAGGTAAGTTTTATCATTTGCAATGATAAAAGCTTGAAATACTCAGAACATTTTCAGTGATTTTTTTTTCCTGTTAACATTTACAGAGAGATAGGTCTCCACATAGAAGCAGTCCTAGTGACACCAGGCCTAAATGTGGATTTTGTCATGTGGGAGAGGAAGAAAATGAAGCAAGGGGGAAATTGCATATATTTAATGCCAAGAAGGCAGCTGCACATTATAAGTGCATGGTAAGCATGGTTCTTTTTATGTGCTGTTAAGTCCAAGGTTTTTAGAGAATCATTTAGCTGGTAACCAGATGCTGTACTTTGTCTCCTGGCATTAGTGTTTTAGAGCTTTGAATAGTAATGTGTTAGCTACTTTCCTCATTGCTGCAACGAAATTCCTGACCAAAGCAACGTAAGGAAAGGAGGGTTTAATTTGGGCTTACATTCCATGGGGAGGTCCATGTGGTGGGGGGCACTGTAGCAGGAGCTTGAGACAGCTGGTCCCATTGTGCCCACAGTCAGGAAGCAGAGAGCAATGAAGATCCACTCAGCCACTTCACTTTTATTCAGTTTGAGACTCAGGCCCATGAATTGGTGCTACTCACATTTAGCATGTACCTCTCCACCGCAGTTAACTCAGGGTAGAAAATCCCTCACAGATATGCCCAGAGATTTGTCTCCATTGTGATTCTAGATCCTGTCAAGTTGACAATTAGCATAAACCATCAAAGTAATATGTTATACTCTCAAATATTGATAAATTTCAGATTTTAAAAAATGGGCCTTCCATTTTAGTAGGATTTGAAGTAATAATAATTACAGTTAACATATTGAAATTAATCCATAAATAATTATTTTACAAGTGTACGAATTTCATCTTCATAATGATAAAAACATTTGTAAATGCATTAAGTCTCCACTTACAATGTAATAAATAACACTATTATAGTACTTAACACACTGTATTGCAGTTATTTATTTATGATTGTAGCTCTCCTAATAGACTCTTTGTTTTGTTTTGTTTTGTTTTTTGAAACAGGGTCTTGCTGTGTAGCCCTGGCTGGCCTGGAATTTGTTATGTAGAACAGGCTGGCCTTTCACAGAGACCCTCTAGGTTTTACCTCCCAGGTGCTAGAATTAAAAGCCTTATAGACTCTTAAATTCCTTGAAGAATAAGTTTTTAGATATACATCCCTTAGATCTGCCCTGTTTTAAATTAGACATAAATGTGCAAATCCTTTTGAATTAGATTCATTTTTTTTTTAATTTTTTTGGTCTTTTTGAGACGGGGTCTCCCTGTAGCCCCAGTTGGCTTGGAATTCGCTGTGTAGACCAGGCTGGCCGTGAACTCACAGAGATCCACCTGCCTCTGCCTCCCAAATACTGAGACTAAAGGTATGTGCCATCATGCCCGGCTAATTTATATTTTTATGTGTATGAGTGCATTGCCTGCATGTACGTAAGTGCACCTGTGTCGTGTAGTGCCTGAGGAGTCAGAAGAGGGCATTGGATTCCCTGAAACTGGAGTTAGGGACAGTTGTTAACTGCCATGTGAGTGCTGGAACCAAACCTATGTCTTCTGCAGGAGCTGCCAATGCTCTTAACCACTGAATCATTTCTCCAGGCCCATGATTAGTTTTTAAAACTTATTTACATGCAGGCAGTACACTCATACACATAAAATAAAATAATAAATAAGAGCAATGTTATTTTTTAAAAAAGAATTTGGTCTGAAGAGATGGCTCAGCGCTTAAAAGCACTAACTGCTCTTGCAGAAGACCCTGGTTCAGTTTCCAGCACCCACATGGCAGCTAACAACTGTCCTTAACTCCAGTTCCAGGGGAATCTGATGCCCTCTTCTGACCTCTGCGGCATTGCACAACACAGGTGAACTTACATACGTGCAGGCAATACACTCATACACATAAAGTAAAAACAAAAAGAATTTGTTGCTAGGGTTGAGGACACACATTTGTAATCCCAGCACTTGGGAAACTGAAGCAGGAAGATTGTCCCAGGTTTGAGCCCCACCTGGGCTACATAATGAGTTCAAGTTCAGCCTAGATTATATAGTGAGGCACCATCTCAAAAACCAGATAAACTGGGCTAGCAGAATGGCTCAGTGGTTAAAGGTGCTTGCCACCGAACCTGATGACCTGATTTGAGTCCCCAGAACCCACATGGTAGGAGAGAACTGACTTTTATAAGTTATCCTCTGACCTCCACTCATGTGCTGTAGGACACACATAAATAAATTAATAAAAATTTAAAACGACAACAACAAAAACCACCACAAATCAACAAAAATCTTGACTAGAATGCACACCCACTTTACCCGGAGAACTTTTTTTCAAAATATATGCACTAAGAACCTCCGTGGAGTATATTTCAGACATATCTGTCTTGAAAATAAAACTGAAAGGAGATTCTAGTCCACATCGTTAGTTGAAATTTGCCAATTTAAGCTATTGTTCAAAACTTTTGGGACATAATAAATAGATGGACAAATAGTAATACTATTGAAAACGTTGTTTGAAGCAGGGTGTTTAATCTTGGTGTCTATTGACAATCTTAGTTGGGTTAATTATTATTTTCCAGTGACTATATATATGTATTGCAAAGAAATATGAAAATATTTAAAATTTTTGAGTTAATGCTGGTTATTAAGGAAAAATCTTTTGCTCTGGGAATTAAAGAAATATAACACACATGTTATTTCACTGTTTCTCATAAGAACTGTGAGTGGTCATGTTCCTGTGTTTTTCTTTTCTAGTTGTTTTCTTCTGGAACTGTTCAGCTCACAACAACATCAAGGGCAGAATTTGGAGATTTTGATATTAAAACTGTACTTCAGGAGATAAAGCGAGGAAAAAGGATGGTCTGTGATTTATTTTTAAATATTTGCCATAATGCTCTTTCTGGTTCTGCTTTGACTTTAGGACACATGCCATATTTATCCAGCTATCAAGAAATTAATACAAAGTATTTCCTTTGTTAAACAAAATGTATATACATTGACTTTTTGTAGTATAATAAAGGATGCTGAAGATTCTGAGACTTACTCCAAAGGGAATTCTATGAAGAAGGGCTGACATTTTAGGTCTTTGAAAGCCTTAATGAAATGTATGCGTATGTGAATGACTGTTAATGTTCAGATGTTACATAGGATAAACTTGCTTAAAGCCTAACTTCTGTAAGCCTAATCTAGCATTGAGAAGTTGTTAATTATTCTTTATTTTAATAAAAGGAAAACTTTGTAGGGCCTTTTGTTTAAAGTACACATAGTTAGGTCTCTTAAAATGTTTATCGTAGCTTTAGAGTTTCCTTTCTAAAATGTACTTCAGTCTCAAGTTTTTAAACGTTGATTAGTGGTCAGTAGCTTTGAGAAATGCAATTTCATTGATCACGTAGTCTTTTAAAAGTTTAGGACTATGGAAAGTCAGTGGAATTCAAACATTTATTTGAGGTAACAATTATCCCTAGAAGTGACTTAATTTTTCAATATTTGTTGTAAAGAATTTAGAACAGGGTAGAAACACACCACACACACACTTGTCCTTCACCTTGATTCATCACTTGTCAAGAATTTGTGGCACACATTTAATCTGTGCTTGAAATCTTTTACTTCCAATTATTTGTTTGTATATATGGTGTATGCACATGCCTGTGTGCATGCATTTGGAAGCCAGAGTAAGGTGGCCTGCTCTATCACTCTCTTGTCTTATTCCTATGAGACAGGGTTTTTCTCTGATCCTGGAGCTAGGCTGGTGGCTAGCAAGTCCCAATGATCCCCGTCTCTGTTCCCTATACCTCTGGTGTTCCACGTATATGTGCACAGCCATGTCTGGCTTTTTATATGAGTACTGAGATCTGAACTCACACCCTTGTGCTTGCATAGGAAGTTCTCTCACCCACTGAACTATATCTTTCCATCCCATGTAAACTCTTTTAAAGCAGAACTCAGACTATAACATTTTATTGTTATATAGTTATGTATAACCTACCACCCCCAAGGTTACATTATATTTCCTAGGTCTGTCTTGAATTCTGGACTCTAAGGTTCAAGGAGTCCCCCTGCCTCTGTCTCTTAAGTGGTGGGACTACAGGTGTGGACCAGTGTGCTCAGTTTAATGTTTTATTATTTTTATTTTATGTGTATGAGTGCATTGCCTACATGTGTATAAGTGCACCCATGCAGTGCCTGCAGAGGTCAGAAGAGGGTGTCAGATCCCCTGGAACTAGGGTTACAGCCGATTGTTAGCTGACACGTGGGTGCTGGGAATTGAACCTGGATCCTCTGCAAGAGCAGTCAGTGCTCTTAACTGCTGAGCCACCTCTCCAGCTCCCCAGTGTGCTCAGTTTAAATAAGTTTTGTTTACTTACGTATTCTGATAGGTGATCTTGCTGTGTTTCCCAGGCTGGCCTCAGGCTCGCAATCCTTTGCCTCAGCATCCCAAATAGTTGGGGTAACAGGTGTGTGCCATCAGGCCCAGCCAATACAAATACCTTAATTGGATATTTTCTTAATTAGCAACTCATTAGACTACAAATTAATAGCAAATACCTCAATGTCGGGTAGAATGCACTTCATATTCCTGTTTACCAAACTGTCAGAACTATCTCTATAATATTTATTTATGTGAATTGGGTTCCAAAAGAGGACCTTGTGTTACAGGCCAGTCCCCCTACCTCTTTCTCTCTCTCTCTCTCCCCCCCTCCCCCCCCTTTGTATGCTATTGACTTGTTGAAGAACATAAATTAATTGTCCTATAAAATGTCTTACATTTTTGGTTTTTCATGATACCACTTAACTTGTCTCCCTGTCCTCTGTCTTTCTGTTTAAGGTGGGAATTATAGGAGCTGGAGAGATGGCTTAGTAGTTAGGAGTATGTACTGTTGTTAAGGAGGGTCCCAGCACCTGTGTCTGGTGGTTCACAACCACCTGTAACTCCAGCTCCAGGGGATCCAATGCTTTCTTCTTGACTCCTCAGACACTTGCCCTTGCACTCACATGGGCACACCCCCACATACAGACTCACACATAAACATATAATTAAAAATCTTTTTTAAAAAGCATATAAAGTAGAAGGGTTTGAGTAGATTCTGTTTCCACTCTTGGAGCCCTAATAACATTTCAAAGGAAGGACTATATCATCCATATTTTACCATATCAGATACATAATGGCTGGTCCTTGGAAATTAGTGGTTATTTTGATCCTGCTTTTGTGAAGTTCTCCCCTTGTTCTTTCAGGTCATAGCTTCAGTGTTGATGGTCCTTGTCTGACTCCATAGAAATGACCCTTCTTTGTGGAACTTCCTATTTTAAAGTGTGAAAATAATTTGATTCAGGCCAGTTGAAAATCAGAACTTACAGTACTAAAAAATATGCAATGTTGTATTGTAACAAAAGTCCAAATAAGGAAATGTGACAAAAATTCAATTCCTTTGATCAACTTATTGTATAGCTATGTTAAAGGTTAGGGTAAATGCTAACCTAGGGTCTCCCCTGTGTGTGTGCTATCAGAAATTAGTCCATCTTGATACTCCGCCATCACCCTAAAAATAAAAGCACATCTGGAGTTCAGTAAATATGAGACTGTTTACACCACCACCCCCTTCTTGGTGAAATAGCTAGAAGACATTTTATAATAAAGCAATCTGCCTAATCTCCTGTTTTGCAAACTTACTAGACTATGAAACCTTTTCTAATAGGCACCTTTTAATTGCAGAGCGTTCTTTAGGCAAAGCTGAACTAGGTCAAATTGGGAAGTTTTGGAAAGATTTCAAACTCCATGAACTTTGTAGTGATTTCTTTAGTGAAACAATTGCATTCCTGTTTTTCTTTTTCCAAATCATAATAGGAATGGACCTGATTTCAGGAAGGAAAAGGAATCAAACCACTAAAATACACAATATTAGTCTTTATGTGTGGCAAAAATAAGGGCTGTCGTTTGTATTTAGACGTCAGAGTTTATATGATATAGCTTTAATTCTGTGCTATATATATAATAAGTTTGGTTTGTTGATATACTTTTTTTTCAGTAGAAAATGGCTGGGTTTCTTTAAAAGAGTTATTTTTATTTCTGTGTGCACACATAGGCCATGAGTGCAGGTGCCTGCAGAGTCCAGGAGTGGGTATCAAATACCTTGGAGCTGAGTTACAGGCAGGTATAAACTGCCCAGTATGGGTAGGGTACTGACTGGGAGCTGAACACTGGTCCTTTGCAGGAGCAGCAAGCACTTTCAGTCTGAGTCCTCTCTCCAGCACCTTGGCTGCTGTTTTCTGTGGAAACTGAAATGTTTGGCTGAGATATGCCTAAAATAGAATGAATAAGATTGCCTAAACTTTTGAAATGCTGCTTATGATTTTTCTTTGTTTTAACAGAAATGTACACTTTGCAGTCAGCCTGGTGCTACTATTGGATGTGAGATAAAAGCCTGTGTTAAAACCTACCATTACCACTGTGGAGTACAAGACAAAGCAAAATACATTGAAAACATGTCACGAGGAATTTACAAGTAAGAAAACAATTGTCTGTTTTCCTTAACATGTCAGCAGCTGCTCTTAAACTAGTTTTCTTAATCTCTATTATTTGATGTTTGGAGTAATTTTAGAATATTAAGGATATTGTGTAGAGTTTAGTATTCTGTGGAAAAAGCAGTTATGCATGCAGCCATCAAGAAACGAGAACTGCAGTTAGCATTTTTCTCTGACCACATGCCCCTGGTTTAGCATTCATTCATCTACTTACTCTGGTAGGCAATGTTCTAGGAGCTGGGCCTACACTAATGATCAAAACAGACATAAAACTGGTGAAGCTTACAGTCTGTTGAGAGAGACCTATTAAATAAATGACCGATGAGTCAGTGCTCGGTTACAAAATATGTAAGCATATGGAAGTAGTTATGAAGAGCTATGACAGTGTACATGGAAGAGCTAATCCAGTGATAAGAAGTGTGTAAGAATTTTGTGAAAAAACTGCTTGAGTGGAGATGTGAAGGGCAAAGGTGAACATGACACAGGTGTTCTAGATAGAACAGCACACACGAGAACCTCAGGTGCAACAGAAGCCAAAGGGAGATGAGATGAATGAACAGGCTGTTGCTGATGATCCAGGTGAGAACTGTTAGTCATTTAGAACAAGATATGCTAGTGGAGATAGAAGCCAGAAGAGTGCCTTGGCAAGATGATAACAGAGTAGGATTTTAAGGCCAGGCGTGGTGGTACACACCTTTTACCCCAGCACTGGAGAAGTACAGGCAGGCTGATTTCTGTGGGTTGAGGTCAGCTTGGTCTACCTAGTGAGTCTGAGACAAGTCAGGGCTATGTAGTGAGACTTTGTCTCCAAAAAAGAGGGAGAGGGAGAGAAAGAATAGGATTTGAGGGGCTAATGATGTGGCTCAGTTGTAAAGTGCTTGGCATGCATTAAGTTCTGTGTAAAGTTCTGGGTTCAGTCTTCAGGCGAGAGGGAGGGAAAGAATGGATTCTGAGATTTGGGATTGCGCATCACTCTCTTTGTAATGGGTTTTCCACTTTCCTGTGCTTCCTTGGGCTAGTGGTGTAATGTGTAGTTATAATGGCTCTGTTCATTTAATCAAATGGAAAATAAATTGGTAGGAATCTCTGAATGTTTGATTTGCCTTTGAAAGTTGTGAAGCACTTTCACAGGCAGTAAAATAGGAGCTTTAGAATTTCGTATTCTGTAGAAAAAGCAGTTATGCACGCAGCCATCAAGCCATTTGGGTGTCTGCATAGTGTTAATGCTGTATTATATAATTAACCAAATTTTGTTGAATAATATTGGCAGAACTTTTTCAAGGGAGTTCTGTCACATGTTTAAGGAACAGTGTTCAATTCCAGTGTTACATGGAGAGGTCTAACAGTAAAAATGGAAGACTTTGGCCAGGTGTAGTGGTACATGCCTTTAATCCCAGCACTTGGGAGGCAGAGACAAATCTCTGAGTTATAGGCCAGCCTGGTCTACATAGCGAGTTCCAGGCCAGCCAGGGCTACATAATGAGACCCTATCCCCAAAAAAATAAAAGTGAAAATTGGGAGACTCCTTATCTCATTCTGTAACACATGCTTAACAGTGGTACCAAACCATTAAAGAATAACAAACTGTAGTCTTGTCTCATTTTTTATCTATTGATCGATCAATCGTTGATAGATTTATAGCTAGCTAAATAGATCGCGCGTGTGTGTGTGTGTGTGTGTGTGTGTGTGTGTGTGTGTGTATCAGACCCAGCTCTGCAGTTTGATGTTTAAAATCAGGAAATATGTGTTCATGTGATCTTTTGTAAATTAATAAAGAACAATCATAATCCTCACCTTCACGGTGGATATGAAAATCCAGTTGATAACATTCAGTGTCAGTTTCTGAAACTTAAGAGTAGCATATCAAGGGAACATTTCATCAGCTAGAAATCTTAATAAGGTGCCCAGAAGAAACGAACAGTTTATAAAGTGCTGAAGAAAAAGAGCAATGGTCCTGATTCAGGGTTGAGCCTCAGAATCAACGGGGTTCGACTGGGTCTTCTTTGAAAATGTCCATTCATATGCCCAACCACAGAGATTTCAATTCAGTAGGTCTGGATTGAGGGACAAACCACATAGTTTGATGACTCTTCAGGTGATTCTCATGTTCCTCCCAAACAAAGCTATTAGACTGAATCACTTTCATTGAGATTAAGAACAAGACGAGGGTGCCAGCTACCAACCTTGCCTTTTGCATGCTTTGAAGTTACGGGTAAGCTTCTGCATCAAGAAAAGAAAGAAGGGCTGTGGTGTAGCTCCATGGAGTGCCTATCCAGAACATTCAAGAGGGCTGGAGTTCCTGTCCCAGCACCACAGAAAGAAGAAAAGTGTGGAATAAATCGAATGATTAGTGCTTGTTATTGCTATCATTGTCTGCAAAGTAAACACAGGAATCAAGTTGGAACTTACTAAAATTAATAAAAGCACAGTAGGGTTGCAAAGTATGAGATGACTTTTACAAGGTAATTCCAGTAATAACTGGTTAGAAATGTAAAGGAACCGGATGTGGCTGCACAGGTCTTTGCTCCCAGCACTTGGGAGGCAGAGGCAGATGGAGCTCTGAGTTCAAGGCCAGCCTGGTCTACATAGCGAGTTCCAGGACAGCTGGGGCTACAGGGAGACCCTGTCTCAAAAAGACCAAAAATTTTTAAAAAGAAAGAAATGTTTAGTATCCCCTTTCCCTGCACCCCGCACTAGAAGTGAACTTGTTCCAACTTTAAAAACAATTGCATTTTACAAATCACTTAGGTGAATGCTGAAATATAGTATGGTCCTCAGTAGAATGAATCAGCATTGAAAGATACCTTTTCTGGCCAAACCTAGAAATACAATCTCAATCAAATCCAAAAATGTTAACAATTTTATCTAAATAGTAATCACAGCATAATTTTCCATTTGTAATGGTTTGGTTTTTTCTCATGTAACAGGGAAAAATAGCTTAAACAAAATAAAAGGCAGACAGGAAAGAAGTCAGATGTGAGAGGCAGTTTGTTAGACTCTGTTTTCTACTTGTTATATCTGAGACACATTTTCGGTGACACTTAACAATGCTACATCTCTTTTAGTGGTTGCATGGGATTCTGTTGAATAGGTGTATCAGTTTTATTGGCTCCTGTTTTAGCCATTTAGATGATTTTACTTTTTAGATGTCAGAAAAATGTTTGAGGGCTGGGGATGGAGCCGAGCACGCATGAAGCTCTGAGTTTGATCACTAGCATGGTGTAAAACCAGGTGTGTAGAACTTGGGACATGGAGGCAGAAAGATCAAGTTCAGGGTCAGCTTAAGCTACATGAGAACATGTTATCTCAAAGGAAAAAAAAGAAAAGAAAATCTTATTTCAGTGGCCATCCCTAAACAAATAAAAATAGTTGGACTTAGATCCATGATAATTTATTTGTACTTTTCACAATGAAATTGACTTTTTTTTTTTTTTGAGACACGGTCTCCGTGTAGCCCCAGCTTGCCTGGAACTTATGTGTAGACCAGGCTACAGTCTCACAGAGGTCCACATGCTTCTGCCTCTGAGTACCGGAGGTGTGTGCTAGCACACTTGCCTTGAGCGAGACTCTGTGTATGTATGTGTGTGTGTGTGTGTGTGTGTGTGTGTGTCTTTTTTGAGACAGGGTCTCCCCGTAGCCTCAACAGGTCTGGTACTTGCTATGTAGACCAGGTTGGCCTCAATCTCACATAGATCCACCTGCCTGTACCTCCTGAATCCTGGGACTAAAGGCACATGCCACCTACCCAGCTTAGACTTTTTTCTTTTTGAGATGGGGTGTCCTTGTAGCCTCAGGTGGCCTGGAACTCACTATGTCGACCAGGCTGGCCTCCATTTCACAGAGATTCATATGCCTCTGCCTCCAGAGTGATGGGAGAAATGGACTTCTTAAATCTCCCTACAATGTAGGTTGCAGATAGATTATTGAATCCAAATGAGTGTCTACATGCAAATATCTTACAGAGAGAGACAAATCAATGAAAATGCAAGATGTTTCTGAATGAAGTGGTACCCCTAACACCTACATATGGCTTTCCTTCCTTAGCCATTTCTGAGTCCTGACTGTTTGTAAGTAAAAGGGCAAGAGAACCTGGGCATGGTGGCACATGCCTATAATCCCAGCACTGGGGAAATCACATGCACACTTCCCTAACCACCTCTGTCAGTACTGGTAACTGGTATCCACAAGACTCATTTCTGGTTTAAAAGAGAAAGGGATATTGTTTCATTGCTTCTGTGAAAAGTTCTAGCTAGGTTTGGTGGTACTCATCTGTAATCCCACTATGCTAGAGACTGAGGCAGGAAGATGGCATAGCTTTGAGGCTAGACTGAACTACACAGTGAGTTCCAGGCCTGCCTTAGTTATATAATGAGATGCTGTCTAAAAAAAAAAAAGAAAAGAAAAAATAGTAAAATAAACGATAAACAAGAAACCACAGAGATTGAATTCAGTTATTACAGTATCCCAATTGCATTCTTACCTTGAATGCTTCTCAAATGTTTGATTTCTAAGTCATCTCATGACAAATGGATTCCTATATAATTTCTTACTACTGACCACAAGAGGGCACTGTTCTATCTGGTGTACAGTTGTCCTAAAACAAGGTTCAGTTCAGTCCACCATTTTCTCTAGTTACTGTATACTAACTGTATAAAGGGGTTTCATTACAGCGTGCGTGTAATATTACTTTGATCATATTATATCTCCTCCCCTTTTCCCTTTTCATTCCCCATCCTTTTAAAATATTATTTTTATTTTATGTGAATTTGTGTATTGCCTGTATGTAGGTAAGTGCACCATGTCATGCAGTGCCCACGGAGGTCAGAAGAGGCTGTCGGATCCCCTGGAACTGGAGTTACAGGCAGTCGTTAGCTGGCATGTGGGTGCTGGGATTCGAACCCGGGTCTTCTGCAAGAACAACCAGTGTTCTTAACCACTGAGCCATCTCTCCAGCCCCTCATCCCCATTCTTAATAGTCCCCTCATAAGTGTCATGTTCTCCCCCTGCCCCCAGGTTTCATAAACTTGTCTTTGTGAAACTGATCTTACTTAACAGGATGCTCTCCACTTTCATCTGTTTCCTTGCACTGATATAATCACATTTTTTATGGCTGAGCAAAGCTCAATTGTGTGCATATACCACGTTTTCTTTTTACACTTATTTATTTAGTTACTTATTTGGTTATTTATTTATTGGAGTACCAAGGATTAAACCTAGAGCCTTGCTCATGCTAGTCAAGCACTGAGCAATATCCCCAGCTCTTTTTTCATTTTTAAGCCAGGGTCTACTAAGTTGCCCAGGCACAATGTCAAAGCGGTGACTCCAGTGACTACTTGCTGTTTTAAAGGAAGACCAGCATTAATGCTGGCGAATTCTGCCTTGGCAAATGCCACGTCAACCACATGGTATGAGTTTAGCCTCAGTGATAGTGGGACAGCTGGAAATGACATGCTTGCTGAAGTAGGCGGGATCAGTTGCAAAGTGTCCTGATTGATAAACCAAAGTTGAACCTGAAGCTAAGCAAACTCAGATTTTGCTCCAAGTGTATATGAAATGGGGCCAGAAAGAACCAAATAAAACCATACTAGAGAAATTCACAGTATGTTGCAGTTGACAAGCTGTCTGGTCTGATCCCATGTGAACAGGTCAGTGTCCTGAGATGCAAAGGAATTGTAGGGAAGAATTTAGCTGAAGAGAGACATAGCCAAATGCAACATGGGGAAACTGTTAGAAGATTCATGAAGATACTCTAGCGGCGGCAAGGAAGCTCATGATACAGAGGCATTGGAAGAGCTTGAGGAAAACTGTTTCATGAAATACAAGCAGAGTAGCAATGTATATATCTTTTTTCATTTATTTGTGTGTGTGTGTGTGTGTGTGTGTAGAGGTCAGAAGACAGCTTACAGGAGTGTGGGTCCTGGAGATCAAAGTCAGGCTGTTGAGCTTGATGGTGGAGAGATGGCTCAGTGGTAAGAGCACTCACTCCCTGCTCTTCCAGAGGATCTGAGTTGGGTTCCCAGCCCCCATGCATGGAGGCTTACAACTGCCTATGACTCCAGATTCCAGGGATCTAATGCCCTTTTCTGGCCTGTGCAGGCACCTGCACACATGTAGCATATATACAGAGATATACACATGAATAAAAGAAACAAATCTTTTTTTTTTTTTTACTTTTATGTGTGCAAGTGTTTTCCCTGAATGTGTTTAAGTGTATCATGACATGCAGTGCCTGCAGAAACTAGAAGAGGGCATGGATCCCCTGGAAGTGGAGTTACAAGGTGGTTGTTAGCCACCATGTGAATGCTGGGAACCAAACTCAGGTTCTCTGCATAAGCATCAGGTGAGTGCTCTTAACTGCTGATCCATCTCTCTAGCCCCCCAAGAAATAAATCTTTTTCTTAAAAAAGACTTTCTTAAAATGTGATTGTGGATTATGTATATGGAACAAATTTCTAGCATTTAATTATTTCATCTGTTTACCTGAAATTTGACTATTTAATTTGAAACAGGGTCTCACTATGTAGACCAGGCTGTCTTAGAACACACAGAGCTCTGCCTGTCTCTGGGATTAAAGACAAATGCTTCCATGTCTGGCTAAGAATTTTTTATTACATATATTTTATCTATTTGTGCATGTGTATGTGTGGGGGCAAATGTGTGGCATGGTATGTGTGTGGAAGTCAGAGAACAGCTTGCACGAGTCAGTTGTCTCCTTCCATCATGTGAGTCTCAGGGACGTAACTTAAATCATCAGGCTTGTCAGCAGGCATCTTTACCCACTGTGGCATTTCACCTAATTGGGAGTATTTTTTAAGTGTGAATGAGGAAACCTATATTTTATATGAACACCAACCTCATCTGCTAATGATGACATAATTATCTTCTCATCGGCAGTGACAAAGGATCTTGAGATTTTTCTCTTTCATTATTTTAGACTGTATTGTAAAAATCATAGTGGAAATGATGAGCGCGACGAAGAAGATGAAGAACGAGAGAGTAAAAGCCGGGGAAAAGTAGAGCTTGATCAGCAGCAGCTCAGTCAGCAGCAGCTTAATGGAAACTAGGTATGGAAGTTGATTTTAGGAGACCTGTTGTCAGAATACAGTGCACTTGTGAACATCTGAAGGGACATGCAGCAAGATTTGTTAATCCTATTGTGGTTAATTAGGAGCATGTTACTGGAATGCTGAGGATTATATAGGCTTGCAAAATTGTGTTTGTTCTTTCTTTAGCTGATTAATTTGTAACCATAAAAACAAGCTATCTACTTTATCAGTAAATATAGTTAAAATGTGGAATGGATAAGATGTACTCTATCCTCAATAATGTTATATTGATTATATTCACCTTAAGCATCATATTTTACATTTTTTTATCATTTTTTAAACAGGTTCATGGGACAGAGTTAGAAAGCTGAGAATGAATAAGACATCCATAACTACTATACTTTTTTCACTGTTTTCTAAAATCAAAAAGGGTTTGTAACTTTTTACTGCCCAGCTCTTAGACCCTTTATTGAACTGCCTAAAAACATCTTGTTTGTTTTCTGAGCCTTCACTAGACAGCCGAATTTGACATGTTGATATTACATAGTTTGCAGTTTCTGGGAAGCAATCGAAACACTATTTACTCTGTGTATAGTGTCAGCAGTTAAAGCAGGCATTGGAATGAAGTAAATGATATTTCTGGACTGAACAAAGCTCTGCTGTTTAGAGTGTTTTAAGTTTGTTTAGTGGATCCATGCTCAAGGGAAATCTAAGCAATTTTGTCTTTACAATGCAAACAGCCAGTAATTTATGGATTTTTTTTCTTTCACGTTCAAGCAATGAAGGCTAGAAATGAAGAGAACCTCATTTTTGTCTTGGCTTTGATAGCACATGTTAAAAAGTCTTTCAGGAAGTGTGCTCAGGTTCTGCTTTGGTTCCTGTGTTCACTGAGCAGCTGGTGATTAGAAGCTATGAGCTCCAGTGCTTCTGCCAAAATTCTCTTGACAGTACCGCCTCTTCTCTTTTCCATGTCATACAAAGAGCTTCTGGCAAAATGATGGAATCCAATCAAGATTAAAGTAACATTTGACAACAGCAGATTAAACCTCTTTGAGAGTAAAGGGGTTACCAACACGCTAAGGACTTTAGACATCATGTCTGAAACCCGTTCCTCTCAAGTGCCCTGTTGTGTGGAACACATCGCATATTGGCCCAAAGTTTATAAGGAGGTCTTATGTGTTAACAGTAAAAAACAAACAGTCTTTGCATAAAACAGTATTTATTTTTAATTTTGTGACCACTATTTTAGAAACTTTATTTAATGTTTTCAGTCATTGGTTTGCTTGTATTAACTAGGCTTTTGTGCCCTTCTTTTCTTCTGGTAGGGCATGGTGTTGTTTTCTAATCATTGGAATTGTTTGTGAAAGCCTAAGAACCCAGCATTTTAGAAAGGATTTCCACACTGGCATTCCTAGCTAGTGTATTTTCTTCCACTTACCTGCTGAAGCACATTTATATATTTCTTTATGGCAAAACCAAAAACCTTTAGTTGTGGTCTGCCTAATATTACCATAGCACCTCAGTATGAAGGGTAGGGATTCTGAGTTCTGAATTATTAAACCTACCACAATGAATCAGATTTGAAAATAAGAAATAACATGTTAACTTGACTGTACTGCAATATTCTGCAGCTGGCAGAACAGCATTTTTTTAATGTAACAGGTGGAAAATTACACTGTGCTTATCGACTGAATTTTTTAACTGCCAGTCCCTTAAGATCATGTTTGTCAAGTGTGTACTGACACATTTACTTCAATCAAGGGACTCGATGCTTGCTTTATTTTAACCATCTTTTATTGTTATTTTAGAAGGAAACTAGCTTTAGTAGTGGATTGCCCTGTACATCTTCTCTTTTTGCTCTTAATATGCCATGATGTATATGTGACTGATTTTCAAAATTCATCATGACTTGAAGTGCAAGGACAGATCTCAATGTTTGTTTACCAAGCTATGTGACCTTTCCCAAAGGATCTGTACTTTATTTCCTTATAACAGCTTGAAAAACATTATTTTTTAAATCTTCAAATCACTGTGTCTAGGTCATTTTTACATTGTGTGCCATAGAACTTACCCGTGGAGAAATAGAGCTCCTTCGTTTTTGGACAACTACTGTAATAATTTTTTTAGGAAAAATGGAAGGTGCCAGGGGTAATCATGGCCAGTCAATAATTATATAAAGGACTTCAAATACTATAGATGTCAGTTGATGGGTTTGTTATGTAGTAAATGTTTGACTTTGTGTGGATTTCTTCAACCGTTTCTCTGCTACTAGCAACCAGAAAAGCACTTTACCTTTTGGTTGGTTAGTAAAGTGGCTGACTACCTGTTTTTCTCACTGTGGTGTGATTGGCTAAATAATCGTGCATTTAAAATTGAAATGTAAATTGAAGTCACATGAAAAATCATGTTTAGTTGTAAACTTCCGATGTTTTGATTCTTTATCTGTGTTTTCATCATATGCTGAGTAAAAGTGCCTTACAATGTAAAAATTGTACAGTACTTATGTTCCCAAGTAGCATCTTCATCCTCTGGCTAGTAATTACATTGTGGTATTAATATTTAGATAAATGGACCTCAGCAGTGTATTTACTGTACATCTCTTAAGTCCTTAACTGTAGTTTTAATAAGCATGACATTATTTGATAAGTATATGACATTACATCATTTCCAAAAATACTGCCATTACTGTCTTTAATGCATATTTTAGCCTGAAGTTTTGATGTCTTTTTTTTCTTTCTTTTTTTTTCTTTGTTTTGTTCCTTTTTGTTGTTATTATTACTATTAAACAGTGTAATCTTTGCAAGCGTATATTGAAGATTATTCTGGAGCATTTATTGCCTTACCAGAAATGTTAGTAAGAAATGTTTAGAGTAGAAGGATAGACTTGAGTTTCTATACTTTAATAAGAGCTCTTTCTTCCTGGGGGTGGGGAGGGGGGGTAGTTTCACCTTCATCTCAATTTATTAAAAACCCACAAGTGAAGTAAATTTCATTTCAAGGATCAGCAGTTTTAGAACTCCAGAGAAGTACTTGCTCAGAAGTATGTGCCGCTCAAGCTGTTGACAGAATAACAGGCTCTGTAGATCTGCTATTGAATCAGAATCTATGGACTTGAACAATCGTGGGAATCTCAAATATCTCAAAGCAAAAGCAAAAGCAAAAAAAGTGTCCTAGAATGTTGTTGCTTTTTGAAAAAGCACTGAAGTTAGACCAAGGCACAGTTTTTGTTCAAACAGACATTTAAGTTAATTGTAAAGATACGGAATGCGTCATGGGTCAAAAATCAAACATTCCTCACATGTTATGTATATTTTGTTCCTGTTATATTGGCTTTATTTTCAAAATTGTAGTTTGTAGTATTAGTTTCCTTTTATTGGTATTCTTGAATATACTATTCATTCAATAAATGAGTTACAAATTTCAAATTGTTATGGTTTTGGTGTGAAAGTGTGTGTTGAAGTTTACTTGGTAATAGCAATAGTGTTGTCTTCCCTTTTGTCTTCTCTACTTCACGGTGAAATACCTAGTTAGTCTGTTTAGTTAACTTGGCATTAAACCAATACAGGAGGAGGGCTGGGGAGGCAATTCAGTGGTACAGGCTCACCCATCATACTCTTGGCCTTAAATACAATCCCCTGTACTACAAACACAACCTACCTCAAAAAGCATTTGGATTGCAGGAGTATGGCTAAAAACAAAAGCAAATGAGATTCAGTTCATTGAACATAAAGGTGTTATCATGGGGAGGAATGGAGAGTCACATTCCATCAGGGTCCTTCTGATATGTGCCTCAGATCCCCACATCTTAAATCAAGTCCACTGCCTGCTAGTTGGAAGGTACTTTTGAAAATGAATACATCAGCCAGGCATGGTAGCGTATACCATTAATCCCAGCACTCAGGAGACAAATACAGGCAAATCTCTTGAGTTCAAGGCTAGCTTGGTCTACACAGTGAGACCCTTTCTCAAACAAAACAAAAAGTCAAGGAGTACATATATTTGAAGTATGATAAGAACTGTCATTCAGCTGGATATGGTGGTGCATACCTTTAATCCAAGCACTTGAGAGGCACAAGCAGGCAGATCGAGGCCAACCTGCTCTACATAATGCATTCCAGGCCAGCCAGGGCTACCTAGTAGGGTCTTAAAAAATGCCATTCAAAACTTTGGTGCCAATTTTAAACAGTCTATTTGTAAGGTGTGCCTGCTTCTCCACTTTATAAGAGTGCTGCCAACTGTGTCCCTCCTGTAATCCCACGCTTGGAAGGCTGAGACGGGAGGTTTGCCACCAGTTTAAGGCCAGCCTGTACTACCTAGTGAGTTCCAGGCCAGCCAGGTATACCATGTGAGGCCCTAGCTCAAGAAAAGGTGTTAAAATTATTGAGGAAAAAAGCATCATATGGTACTTTTTTCAACATTCTGTGGGGTTAGATTTTATTGTGAAGCTCAGATAGACTGTATGTGAGAGTGATGTATGAATCATATTTGAGAAACCAGGCCAACACCCCAAATCCAAGTACATCTCATTTCATATGTGTTTCTGACCATGGTGGTTAGTCATTTCTCTTCCTTTTGATTTTTAAAAATATTTTATTCTTAATTTCTGTGTATGAAATGTATTGCCTGCATATATGTAAGTACACATGTGTCATGCAGTGCTTTTGATTTCTGAAAAGTAACAGATCGCTTATTACTGTCTAGTGTTTTCAGGCAGACATGTTTCTTCACACCCAGGGTCATATTGCTACAGTTTGGTTTGTTTGCTGAGGCTATACTGTATATTGAACTCCCATAATCTTTATCTGTTGTGTGATGGCTCTTATCCCCAGTTATGACCATGTCTAACAGCTGGCCAGTTTTATAAAGCAAGAAAGCATCATTTGAACTTCTTTTCAACTGTTTGTTTTGGCCTTGCCTAAATATAGCCTAAGACTAGCCAAAACATGAGCTTTTGACTCATATACTAAGAATTATTTTTTCATTTAGTGATTTCAAGCAACTTCAATTTAGTAATGTCTGCACGTCTGAAAAGATATTATTGGGAGAAATATAACAAAGATATTAGAGCCAGGCGTAGTGGTGCATACCTGTAGTCCCAGCACCCGGGAGGCAGAGGCAGGAGGATCTCTGTGAGTTCAAGGCCAGCCTTGTCTACATAGTGAGTTCCAGGACAGCTTGGGCTACAGGGAGACCCTGCTTCAAAAAGACAAAAATATAATAATTATAACACAGATAATTATGCTGGTCAGTCAGCATATAAGCACCTAAATAATAAAATTATGGGGCTGGAGAGATGGTTCAGCAGTTAAGAGCACTGGCTGCTCTTGCAGAGGACCTGGATTCAATTCCCGGCACCCACATGGCAGCTAACAACTATCCATAACTCCAGTTCCAGGGGAATCTGACACCCTTTCCTGACATCTGTGAACGTTGCACGACACAGGTGCACTTACATACATGTAGGCAATACAAGTCATACACATAAATAGTATTTTTAAAAAAATAAAAATAAAACGGGTGCCGGGCATGGTGGCACACGCCTTTAATCCCAGCACTCAGAGGCAGAGGTAGGTGGATCTCTTTGAGTTCAAGGCAAGCCTGGTTTACAATAGCAAGTTCCAGGCCAGCCAGGGCTACATAGCAAGACCCTGTTGCAAAAAATAACAAGATAAAATAAATTAGTCAAGGGTGAATCATCACATAAAGCTTTTATAATTCTCAAAATCACATTTTATGCTAGTTGGTATTATAGCATTAGTAAAGCACATTTTAAAAGATTTGTCAGATGTATAACATTATAAAACTAAGTTTAAATAATCAAGCCTTTAATTAGAGTGACTTCATGAGAGGGCCTTTTGTAATTAGGACTGCAGTAGTTCATGGGACTGCAGTTATTTTCCTTTTATAGGTGAGCTGGACAATTTTACACAAAGGCTTATTTTCAAATGTGCCTAATCCTTAAGCCCAATAGGCTTATGTTCTATATTTAGTATTGATTTAATATCACCAGCAAGAAATAACTTTGGAACCTGGTCTCATTCTTGGTTACAGAGCAAGCACTAAAGATAAGTGGCTTTTTTTTGAAAGTTACAGATCAGAGAGTTGAAATTCTTTCTGTGTATGTGTCTGTGTCTGTGTGTGCCTGTGTGTACACACGTACATATTTGTTAGTGCAAGCATATGCTTGCCCTGACATGCATGTGGAGGTCAGGGGATGACCTGAGGGATTAGTCCTCACCTTGCTTGAGGCAGGGTCTCTTTATTTACTGCTGCACACCCAGGCCAGCTATGTTCACGTTTTGGAGATTCTCCTGTCTCTACTTCCTCTCTCCATAGGAGCACTGGGACTACAGGCATGTGTTCCCAGACCTGGATTTTTTGGGTTCCTTGGATTCGAACTCAGGTCCTTATGCTTGCATAGCAAGTGCTTTACCAGTGAGCCATCTCCCAAGGCATCAGATTTCCAAAGGACCTGAGTTCCAATTCCCAGCACCCACATTGGTTGGCTCACGATTGCCCTTAACTCCAACTCCAGGGGATCTAACACCCTCCTCTGGTCTACATGGGCGTGCGTGCGCGTGCGTGCGCACACACACACACACCATCCCTACACAATATAAACATAAATAAAAAAATCTCAAAAAAATATGTTGCTTAGGGCTAGTGATGTAGCTCAGTTGGTAGAGTACTTACCTAGTGTACACAAAGCCCTGGGTCCCATCCCCAGCACTGCATAGACCAGGGATATTGGTGCATGCCTATAATCCCAGAATTCAGGAGATGGATGCAGGAGGATCAGAAGTCCAACAGAAGTTCCAGGTCAGCCTAGGCTGCATTAGACTATGTCTCAAAGTAAGTAAATAAATAACTGTAATGGTGACAGCAGTTCACCTCAAAATTTTTTTTAAATAAAAAGCATATTGCTAAAAAAAAGCATGTTGTTCTGAGCATGGTGGTGCATGAACCCTGAGATTGAGGCCAGCGTGGTCTACATAGGGACTTCAGGCCAGCTGGGGCTACAAAGAGATCCTGCCTCCAAAAAAAAAAAAAAAGCGAAACTGAGAAGCATGTTACTTAGAATAAAAGACTTGATAGATTTCCTTTCTCCTTTGGGACACTCCAGTAACTGGGGTCATTCCATTCCATGAACAGAAATGCAACCAGCAGCTCATAGGCCACTTCCTAGAAAGAGCAACACAAAACCTGAAATGCTTACATCTTTATTCATTTATTTGATTCTTCCCTAGTAACTCCCTTACTTTAATTTTCACCTCCTTAAGAACATTTCTTTTCTGACTTAGGTCCTTACCCCTAACCTAGGTGTTCCTGGTTGTGTTATTCAGCCTTCTGTCACTGTAAGCAACTACTTAAGATAATGAACTTAAAAAGAGAAAAGAGTGCTGGGCATGATGATGCATACCTATAATCTTAGCATTTGGTAGGTAGAGGCAAAAGAAGTTCAAGGTCATCCTCAGCTACATAGTGAGTTGGAGGCCAGCCTGGGCTACATGACCTTCTATCTCCAAAAGGGGGGCTGGGGAGATAGTTAAGTGGTTAAAGTGCGTGCTGTGCAAACATAAGAACCTGGATTTGGATCCCCAGCACCCACATAAAAGCTAGGCATAGCACTGCACACCTGTAATCCTAGTGCTGGGGAACAGAGGTGAGAGGATCTCCCTAGGGCTTGCTGGCCAGTTTAGCCAAAATACAGAGCTCTGGGCTCATTGAGAGACCCTATCTCAAATAAGGTGGAAAGTGGTAGAAGAGAGCCTGCAGACATCAAGCACTATAGTCAACACACACACACACATTCATGGGTGAGTGGACCCCTACCTCCACACACATGCAGCACACACGCGCACACACGAAAGGAAGGAAGGAAGGAGAGAGAGAGAGAGAGAGAGAGAGAGAGAGAGAGAGAGAGAGAATGAATCAGCCAATAAAATGCTTGTTGTATAAGCATGAGGACCTGAGTTTGAGTCCCCAACACCCATGTAAAAATCGGGAATGTTGGTGTATGCCTCTAATCTCAGCCCAGGGAGGCAAGACAGGAAAATCTCAGGGAGGGGAGGCTCGCTGGCCAGATGGTCTAGCTGAATCGTGAGGTTCCGGTGCAAGGGACAGAACCTGTCTCAAAAAAAGAAAGTGGAGAGTGATAGCAGAAGACACACAACATCGACCTCTGGCTTCATGTATATGCTCACACATGCACATAGACTCGTGTACACACATGAACATGTACACATGCATATACCACACACACAAAGA